CAAACAATTATCTCTTCTAGTTACGACCTTTGTACTCAGTTGCTGCTTGACGTAGGTTGCTAAGCCTTTTAAAATTTCACATGTGGATGATAGGAAATGAAATAACTGTATTTGGGTCTAAAAAAATATGAAATTTCAAACAGACTAAGGACAGAATATACCTCCTCAAAATCTAGGTTCGAAAGAACAGGATGGCATCCAAACACATGAAAATGTCCGAGAAAGCCACTGGGGAAATATTCTGAGCTTTTGATTGGTTATTTACATGTCATATATTGAAGTAAGTGTATATGAGGGAGCGTTCCCAATGATGGAAAGAGGTGAGCAAGAGCCACTGTGTTTGATTCAGTAAATGAGTGATATTTCAGCAAATAGAAAAAATACGAGATTCTTATTTTATATTCTAGCTTGTCAATATCAGTAATTTGAGTTTCTAATTCATACAAAACTATAGACTTAGCATTTTGACATAACAAACATCTAATTTGAACCAGTGCTGCATTCAACACATCATATGAAACACAAAAATCAATGTTTAATTGTTTTTTTTAATATTTAACCATAAATTAAGAAATTAAATAATGTATAATACTAAAATTTGAATTATATTTTACAGTTTAAAAGCAAACTTACTGACATAAATTCATGAAATAGCAGTTCAATAAAACTTTGAATGAGAGTCAACAAATGCAAAGACATGGCCCATCTGGAGAAGGTTAAATTGATAAGTCTCAGAAGCAACTTGTGTATACATGACTTCTGTTCCACTTCTAGACAATTCCTTCTTCATTATGTTGTTTACTGCTGCCTGGAACAGGTGGAAGACTTATGAAAATTACCTCCATTTTCCTAGCTTCTCACCTGTTACAGTAAGTTACATTTTGTTTACCACAACTGGGATATGACTCTTTCTGTAGGGTTCTAATATCTCAAGTTCATCCGTATTCATTGTTTTCCAATGCTAGTATAAAGGATGTCTCTGTCAAGGAAAATATAAATCCTCACTCTGAACAAATCTTTACAATCTGATATATTTTGCATCAGAATGGGCTGTTATATACCCTTCCTACAAGCAAGCAATTTTCTCTGGTATCACACTACCTACAAAATTCCAAACAATGTCAAAATGTAGTTCTGATACATGTCATTCTACCAATAATTTATACCAGCTATAATTATCACACGACTTGTTGATTTGTGTATTTTAACAGAACATACTCAACCCTTTACACTTGATTTAATACCTATGTTGTTCTTACAATTTACATTATTATTATTATCCAAAGTACAACCCAATGAATATGTATTAAAAAACCTGGAAATAAATCCCTCTAATGTAAGTAGATATTATTGTCAAGAAGTTCCTCTAAATAAAAGAAGAAATGAAGTTCATTAGAAGATACTTCAGTTGATGGCAACAGTTCTTCCAAATGATGAGTATAGTTAATGAATACACCGAGATGATAACCAGAAAGCCAACAGGAAGTGATTTACTATAAGATTTATCTCAAAAAGAACTAAGAAAGTAAAAATGGTCAACTGGTAGAGAACTTAATTAAACTGTCTTGATTGTAATTCACAACTGTTCTTGTATTAGAAGATGCTTGACTTGCATCTAAAGGATGATGCAAACTTTTTACCAATTTAACTAAATTTTGTAAGTCAATGTTTAGAAATAAACATTAAAGCATTTCTGATAAACATCATGGTAATTCTAAACTAATTGCATACACTCATAATCTTTGCACATTGCAACTCTACTATTTCTAATTTTAGAATCAGTAAGTGTAGAGCGTCTATCATTATACTCTGAAATGACTTAACAATCAAACAATTCTAAACAAGTATATATTTTATTACTGCAAATATTGTAAACTTTTCAGATAGTCCACTGCATAGTTTCTCCCTTGAAAACACAAACATTGTGACAAAAACTTTATTTAGTTTCTTTTATCTTTATGCTTCTTCTCTTTCTTCTGTATGCATGTTTAAGATAAAAGCTACACAATTGGCTATCTGGGTTGTGTCCCCTGTATATATTGAAACCATATTTTTTTACTATAAGCCTTTAATCGTAACACTGAGCCATCCTGAGGCCAACATGACCTAGAAACTGTAAAATTGTTAATTAGAAGGTTTTAGATATTGTTGTAAGTTATGAATAGAAACCTTTATGAAATATACAGAACAACATTATTTTCTGCCCAACTTATGTCAAATACTAGTAACATATCATGTGATACGATTGTTCAAAAAATTTAATAAAAAACATCACATAAAATTTTTTACCATGCTTAGTGTTAAAAAATCATATATTATATATATAAAATCTGTTTCAATACTTGTAAAAGTTTTCACAAATGACTGCCATGAAAGATGTTCTGTTATAATTTTGCAAGCAATGGCATTCTATATAACTTTAACAAGTCTTACTTGATACATACACACAGATGTTAAAATAATGTATTGCAACACCTCACTAGTAATGTTTATGTATACAAAGAAAATGTTAAAAAAAATTATCTTACTGTTTGGATGCCAGATGTCAGTAATGAATTTCATTTTCGGTGGCTTCAAAGGATAATCCTTTGGAAAATAAAGATGAGCTTTGAAGAAGCCTCCTTCACTGTAAGGAAGAATACCTCAGTTACGGAGCACCAGCCAGTTAAACTTTTATACATAATTAACCAACCTAATAGCATTAATTTAGAAATAATTACATTTTACTGAGTACAACATTTTCGTTACATTTATCTACCAAACATAAAAGTGCATGCTTAATCAGTTACTAATTTCAAACAGTTAAAAATGGAATGTTCCTACACATTAGATTTAAATGCCAGAGTAAGTAATACAGGTTTGAGCCAGAAGATGGTACATCTACCAATGAATGAAAGATAGACATTTTCTTATGCTTCTGATATATGTAAATCTGAAACAGCAGTATAATGTTACCTCTTTCATATACATAGGTTATTCATTGAGTAAAATACCGTCGATTCAAAAGTTATACACTCTGAATTGTATGAAACTTGAATCTCCTATATATGTAAGTTGAACATCATTCATGTACTTCAATGAGACTTCTTGTACATATACCTATACATTTCACTAAAACATTTGCACTGCTATGTTTAGATAAATTCTCTGAAAATCCTAAAAATTTAGTTTTGATAACTCTAAATCCAATTCTACTTGTGCAAAACTTTTAACTCAACTAATGATTTATATTTTCAATTTAAAAAATTTATTCATTTTTGTAATAATTGTTCATTACATTCATTATTCATTGTTTGTAATTCATTGATGTCGAGGCTATCGACATCCATTGATGTTGAAGCTACGGAGATTTCTAGAAAGCCTAAGTGATAGATGTATAAATAGCTGCAACCAGACGAGAGGAAACAGAGTGAAGGTAAAGTTACATGAAAGAGAAGTTCGGTCAGAGAAAAGTTAAAAAACACAAAGTTAACCATTATGGGAGTGAATGGCCTAATGGTTGATATGTTAGAGTGAGATTAACAGTTTGAGAGAGATAAGGAGAATAATTTGTCTTGTCAAAGGGTGTTCTAAACTAATTGAACCCACTTGTGTGGACTTTGACAAAAGGCAGATGACTATTGCAAGTTCAGGATACAACTGCAGTAACTCACATGACAGTGTAAGTGAATTATACATGGATACTATTGCGATAAAAATAGAGAAAAATAGTTTGACTTGTCAACTGAATTCCAAATGAATTGAAATGGCCTAAGTGGACTCTTGACAAGAAGAAGAAAACTGTAAAGTGTTTAAGATGCAACTATGATCTCCATAGCATAAAGACTTTTTATACATACTTTAACTTGTTTCGAATATATATATATTATTTTAAAAACAAGTGCAGTGCATGACATTCATTTATTGTTGAATTTATCACCAACAAGTCACATACACCTACTGTAGAAGAATCCTCAGCCCAACACCCATATATTTACATCACTATATATTTACTACTAAAAAGTAGTTTCCAACATTTGGCAAGCCATAGCCAGCATTATACAGGGGTAAATGGCAGTGGAAGAAAACATGAACAACAGTGGAAATAAATAGGTCTATATATGCACAACTGTAGTAGTAGTAGCAGCACAAGTAGTGTGAAGATTACAATCACGCTGTAAAACCATGTCAAATTTTGATAAATGGATAAAAAGAGGAGAGTGTCTCGGGTTAAAAGACATTGAACTAGGAGAGTTTGTTAAAGAACAACAAAAAATAAAGAGAGAAGAGGGGCAACAGAGAAATGAGGAAGAAAGACTGAAACCAGAGAGAGAGAGAGAGAATAAGACCACAAATTGAGAAAGAAGAAAAAAAAGAGAGAGGAGAGACTAGAAATAGAGAGAATAAAAGCACAAATTGAGATTGCAAAGGACACAAGAATGACAACAGAGTCAGGGCCAGCCGACCCAAGCTGCCCAAATTTGATGAACAGAAAGACAATATGGATGCTTTCCTGGAGAGATATGAAAGGTTCACCCAAAGTCAGAAGTGGGACAAAGGAGACTGGGCAGTCTGTCTCAGCCCACTTCTCACAGGAAAAGGCCTACAAGTATATGCAGGCATGATGTCAGAAGATGGCATGGACTATGACAAATTAACAGTGGCTTTGCTAAAATTATATGAACTTACTGATGAAAGTTTTTGCTGGAAGTTCAGAGAAGTCAAACCTGACACTGGAAAAACTGTATTTCAGTTTGTGGCATGTCTACGGTGATACTTCACAAGATGGATTGACATGGCCAAATGTGACAATAGTTTTGAGGGATTGGCAAACCTATTAGTACGTGAAAAGTTCATGATCACGTGTTCAACTGACATGTCACTGTTCCTAAAGGAGAGAGCACCAAAAGATGTGGAGGAGATGATCAAGCTGGCAGAACAGTATATGGAAGCCCACGGAGGAGTATAACTGGCAAGTCCAAAAATATCCAGTTAAGTTCGAAACTAGTGATGGCTGACCAGAAGCAAGTCTACCAAAAGTGACAGGAGGTTAATAGACAGAAGGGAGAAGAGATGCTACACTTGTTATAAAATGAAACACATTTCAAACAAGTGCAAATACATTACCTGCAAGCAACAGCATAAATATCAATATAAAGCAGCTGGAGCTATTTACAAAGAAAGTGCTGGTTAGAAACAAGAAAAGAGTGATTGGCATCATGAATGCTACTGCTAGAAGAAACAGAATCGAAACAACTCTTCCAAGAAGGAAGTGCCAATTCCATAATTGATTAGTGCACAACTAATGGTCAGCTGAAGTTAGCAAATGGATCAACAGTGCCAGTAGTGATCGGAGCATGTTACAAATATCGAGAGGTGCTAAGAAATCATAATATGCCAATATGTGAAGGCTATGTCAGGGACAAGAAAGTTAAGGTTCTGCTAGACACTGGGTGCAGCAGTGAGAACCAGTTTAGTATCTGATAACCAGAAGATGGGCAAGGTACACCTGTGTGTGCTAACTGATGGGACAGTGAGAAAGTTTCCCATAGCAAAAATAAAGGTGGATACTCCATATCATGTTGGAGACCTTGGAACCATGTGTATCGAGGAAGCAATATACGACTTGGTGATAGGAAACATATAAGGTAGTAAAAATTTGAAGGAAGTGCAGAAGAAAGATCCTTCACCATAGAAACTTTGGGACAGTACCCGAGAGGAAGTCAAGCACAAGACAAAGAGGAAAGAGACTTAGAGAAGACCAGAAAGGAGTATTGAACTGGACCTATCTAAACAGTTTTACTGGGGAAGCCAAACCCAAAGACTGTCATAAACACTTCTATAACAAGGCCAAGAGTCGATTTTTCAAGGTCTAACAAAAGGTTTTAGTTCTGCTACCCACAGCCAACAACAAACTCACCTGGCAGTGGAAAGGACATTTCACGGTACAGGAGGTGGTCCACAGAATGCACTATAAAGTGAAATTTATACTGCCAATCATGGTCTACTAGGTAATTCTGTTGAAGAGGTACTTCAAGAGAGAAGAAGACTTTATAGGTGCAGCTGCTGATGTACGGATGGATATGGCAAGTGCGGCATCTGAAGACAATGACTTCATTACATAAAATAAGAAAACTACTAGGCCTAAGAGCATTGGGTGGAGATGAGACATACAAGGACATCAACATAATTGAAGAGCTGACTGGTAAGAAGAAAAAAAGAGGAACAAAATCTACTGAGACAATATACAGATAAATTAGGAATTACAGACAACACGAGATCAAAATGAAGGTAAGGGATCCTGTAAAGTTGAAGCCCTACTGGAGGCCCTACATGAGAAGAGACCGACAAAGGAACTGCAAATGTTGGTGTAGACTATGCGAGAAGACTTAGTATATGAACTGAGAATAGTCTTTGTATATAGTGTAAAAATATTGTAAATATTTCTCTTGAAGAAGGGCTTATTGTCGGATATAAAAGACTGTTTAGTGTAGGTAGTCCTATATCAACAACAAGTCACAAACACCTACTGTAGAAGAATCCTTAGCCCAACATATCCATATGTTTACATTACTATATATGCTAATAAAAATTAATGAGCAGTGCATATTTTGAACAAACTTAAAAAAAAAGGGACAAATCAGCATTCCAAAGTCTTTTTCTGGAATACAGGGACAACAGGTTCAAAACTGGGACATCTGGTCACCTTAATTAGCTGTAACTGGTCCAAAGGTTGTCCTATGAACAACCCAGTCAGTAAGTCTTACTTCGAACACTGCACAATGAATAAAACATATGCATAAGAAGCATGAAATTTAGTACATACTTGTAACTAAAACAATTTTTATTCATTTAAGATGTGAAATTAAGAATACAAAATAATAACACATACAAAGCAGGCAATATCCAACAACTATAAGACTTTGACTGGCTTTCTAACTAAGGCATAAGTGTCTTAAAAAATTCCCTTAGCTGTTCAACCTAAACTCAGCAATAGCAACTTAGCTAAAGTAGCTAAAAATCTCTACTGAAAACAAGGTAGTATTATATGTAATACAGTAAATTAAAACTTTATCTTTCTATTGGTTGTAAATTATTTAATAGCAAAAGTCAGAGAGGATTACAGACAGTCTGTGAAAAAGAAATTGTGGTAGGAATGCATGGCAAGTGACTCTCTGGCTTATGTCTCCATAAACAAAGTCTGAAGGTTATCAAAATTAGACTATGCCTTACTAATACCTATGTTATAATAAATTAATTTACATTAAACTCAGAACATCACAGAGAAATGATGAAAAAATAAAAAATGGGTAGGTCAGAACAGACAAACAAACATGTTACACAGACAAAAGGAGATTGAGAATATATTCAAATATTTCCTTTTAATATTAAGAAGTAAAACTTATGTAGTATTAAAATTATATTTATTAGCTATGTTTTGATGCCATGTTTATCTGTTGATAATAAAATAGTTTAATAAAATTTTGAATGTAACTCTAAAATATTGTGAGATGTGCACTTTAACCTACCCACAGTGAGGGTTAAGTAACATACAAAGTAAACATAGGTCTACAACAATTATACTCAAATATATGATTATTTAAATAATACTTGTAAGTAATTTAGATCTATAATTTATGTAACTGTAGATGATTGATGAATCACTTAACTTTTACATAAAATAGCTTTCATTCTCACATTTTAGATGATCTATACAGTAGGCTATACACAAAAACTTTAACAAATATTTACTTAAGCTGAAATAAGCAATTTGCAATGAAATTATACAAACTATTATGTCAACTACATACTATAATGTATCCGGTGGTCCAATGATGAGAACCTCCCACTTATAAATATCATTGTCATCAATCAATCCAGCTGAGAATCCTTCTACTGGATTTTTATTTAGTTCTGAAAAGAAAAAAAAGATTATTATTACAAAATGAAACAATTTTTACCCAAAGTGACAACTGGGTTTAAAAAAGGAAAGATTTACAATTGTTTCTCCTTTTATACATTTTAATAAACAAATAAATGGTAGCTCTCAGTCCTTTAAAATGCAGAACTCATTTTTTTAAAATATTAAAAAAAAAAACAATTATTTCAGAGAGTAGCAAAGAAACTACATAAATGAGTGTACTTCAGTTATATTTATTATAAAAAACATTCAGAATGAAATTCTATCACTAAATAATAGACAGCAAGGAGCCAAATACCAAAGTTTTATCCTTATATGTATATCACTTGAACTTTTGGCATGTATCATATAAAATATTCCTAGCATGATGTTTTAAAGATTAAGAAACTAATCCCCACAACATGAGTAGAGAGTGTCAGTAAATTATGGCAAAGTTCAAGCATGTAAGCCAGAATTGTAAAAAATTATAATCTTAACATATTTTAATCTCTTGTTATAATTCCTGGCCAAATTCGATTTTAATACACTGTACTGATTTCTATAATCAATCCATAATCAAAGAAAAAGGAACAAATAATGAAATATGCAAATGGTTTGGCATATCAAGATGATCAGCAGTTCGCTCGGAAGTCATTTCAAACTTGCATGCCGAATGATGAGTACAGGGAAAGAGCTAACAGAGTTTCAGAGGGGAAGGATAGATGGATGTCATTTGGTGAAAATGTCTATACAGGCTATTGCACAACAATTAAACATTCCCAGGTCGACAATTGGCATGTGCTGAAGAAATGGAAGTCCACAGGTAACAATGAGCCCAAGAAATGACCAAGTAGGTATAAAATACTGACTGACAGGAGCTGACGTGTCTTGAGAAGGCTGGTTACCTCATCTTGCCGTCAGACCTTAGAGAATCTGTGTTTGGAGATGCAAACAGCCACAGACAATCCTGTAAGTGTTTCCATGACACATCGAGAGCTGCATGCCATGAATTTTCATGGAAGAGCTACAGCTACAAGCCATTAATAACAAAAACAAATGCCTCAACCTGATATAACATCTTCGGGATGAACTGGAACACAGAATTGGGGCATACTAATGCTTTAAAGGAAGAGTGAAGCACAATACCACCAGCTTTTTACAAGAAATTAGTAGACAGTCTTCTACAACACATTGAAGCAGTCATTAAGGCCAAAGGCAGGCCAACATACTATTAATTTCTTGGAATAAAGACATGTTTTATTCATAACTATCCGTGTCCCATGACTTTTGGTAGGATAGTGTAGATCAATCCATACTTGTCTTTATAAACTTTTCTTTTTTTATTACACTTGTAAGAATATCAAAGACATCACAGATTAACGAAGATACACTATTAGTAGATGTAATTATAGAATGAGACCAAGTACTGAAAAGCTACACAGAATATATTGAAGATTTACTCCACAACAATCATGAAGAAAAGCCATCTATAAAGATCATGGATTGATTGAAAATTCTTAAGTCAGAAGTACAAACAGTTATTAAGAGAATGAAAACCAATAAAGCTACAGAAGTAAATGAAATTGCAGTAAAACAACTAAAGTGTTTGGAACAATTTGGTATAGAAAGGTTAACAACTATTATCTCTGAGATTTATGAAGGTGGTGAAATACCTGAGGATCTCAGTAAATCGATCTATACTGCACTCCCCAAAACACCTAGAGCCATTGAATGTGAACACCATCAGTCAGTCAGTTTATTGAGACATGTAATAAAGATCCTATTAGCCCTTTCACTACAGACTCAGTCCCAGTGACTGACCTTGTAACCATTTTATACTTGTTATAGTTTCCATACTATAACTTTTAATACAGTAGATGTATCTTAATGAAATTTGGCAGAGTATCATTAAACATAACAAGGCTTTCACACATTAAGTATCAGATTTTTAATTAAAGATTTGCTCTTGCATTTTTTCTTTTTGAATGTTAGCTATCCCACATGCAAAGTAATTTTGATTTCATGATTAAAAATACCTTTATGCAATAGAAAATAGTCAAATTTCCTTTGCAAAATCTGTATAGCATCCTAATAAGATCCAGATAAATATCAAACATATTTTTTAGAAAATTTTTATATTTTTTCTGTTATTTTTTCTATCTTATCTCTGTACGGGTTTGGTCAAATTGACCAACCTTGTAACCACTATAAAAAATTTGGAAATATAACTTGAGTTACGCTTTTTTCAGTCTAGAATGGCTACCAAATCGTAACATGAAACGAGAAATGTTTATTCTAAACAGCTTAAATCTCCTAAAATTATATATATGTTTATTATTTTACTGACCTTTCAGCCATATTTGACTAACATTACAGAAGTTGCAATCACAAAACATGTGGATCTCATGTTACCATATCCCATAGTATAATACAGACATTTACAAAGTGATCTGTCTTGGCTTTGTTCTAGTGGACCAGTGGTTTGTAAAATACAGTCACATTGCAGTTACAATCCAGTACCTATGTGTGCATGGGCGTGTGCGTGTGTGTGTGGTGTGTGTGTGTGTGTGTGTGTGTGTGTGTGTGTGTGTGTGTTTATATATATATATATATATATATATATATATATTATTATATTATATTACTACTTACTTATTACTTACTT